CAGAGAAACCCGGCGCGGCATCCATCATATCAACAGAAGCAGACGTTCAGGCCAGTTCATTAACAGTAAGGTGGACTGCACCAGCTGATGATGGAGGGAGTCCTATCACAGCATATCGAGTGATCATACTAAAGGGTGACACCAAGAAAGGCAGTGTTGATATTACTGGTCTTCGTGAAACAATCACACTTTTACGGGTCTGGAGAGACATGCAAACTACACGATGAAAGTGTTTGCCAGAAATTCTATATTTGAAGGAGATCCAGCTGTAAAGATATTGAAAACAGAGTTTGAAGGTGAGAGGAATGCCTCTTCCTTAATGCCCTTGTTGTAGCGCAACTGATCACTTAAACCATTCATTTTGTTTCTAGCTAAGGAACCTGCTATTATAGATGATGACAATAGTGTCAACTCATATTGTAAATAATAGGCATACTTTCGATTTATAGATAATTGTATTAATAGCTATCAGATTTTATTTTTGTCCTAAATCTTTTTCCACTTCCATTAAGATACTGCGCATAAACTGACTTATCTGTACTCCAACTACTTTTTTTCGGTTCGATTTCTTTCTATCTTAGCCTTTATAATTGAGAGATCTGAAGTCAGTGTGAACATTTCTAGAATTGCTGGTCACCCGAAGCTTCTGTCACTCTGTGGACCCCTGTCTTGATAATTGTGAATAACAAAAGTGTACCAGAGAGAGCGACACTTGATACTATACAGGCCGGATAAAGCCGGGTGTTCCTAACTGAACAAAGTTGTAGATTATCATTTGTCTCTGAAAATGATTATATCAAGATTTGCAGTGAGTTGGTAAATACTTATAGCAAAACCGTGACTTTCCTATTTGTTGTGATTGATCCAGGGCCCCTGGAGGTAGTGAAAATAGACGAGCTTCCCATTGAAACAAAAGACGATACAATTGCCCTGAAATGGAAGGAGCCAGGAAGTAATGGAAAAGTTATTATGCAGTACACTGTGTACCAAAGGACGGTAACCGACGGGAAGATGGGAGACTGGAAAAAAATAGAGAAAACCACGGATGTGAAAGACAGACAATTAGAAGTTAAGCTGAAGAAAGGAGAGGTGTATGAATTCGCCGTCACTGCTACTAACGCCTTGGGTGAGGGCTTGAAACAAGATGCATTTAATATCAAGAGAGTTAAGGCAATTAAGGTAAACTTCTAAGTTATTAACATTTATTATCTTTTGTTGTTATTTCTAAGTGAGATGAATGTTACGTCAAAACTTGTTGAAACACTAACATAGAAACATTTCCATGTTTTCATGAATGCCGGGTCATTGACGTAGCAACTCTCAATCTACCCAATACAATGTTTATACTGAGATTTGTAGTAAATATGTGAATAACTTCTAAGTTATTAACATTTAGTGTCATCTTGTTGTTATTTACACGTGAAAAAATATTTCTTTCAAAAATTGTTAAAACACTGAATAGGAAACTTTTCTATATTTAAGTGAACGCCGGGTACGTCATTCACGTATCAATTCTAAGGACACCCAGTAGACGTGTCTGAAGCTTTCGCAGGACTTGTAATAATTAGTTGACTATTAGAAAAAACAACGTTTAATTGTTCGTGCCATTTTAAGGGATCCCGGCAGCAGTGGAAATATATGGCCTGCCTAGTGAAACAACAGAAGATACAATAACTCTGAGGTGGATCGAGCCAAAAGACAATGGAAAGAAAATAACGCAATACACCGTTTACCAGAGAACAATAGTTGATGGGATACCAAGAGATTGGACAGTAATAAAGGAAATATCTGATGCTAAAGTCAGAGAAATTAAAGTAAAGCTGGAAAGAGGAAAAGTGTATCAATTTTCAGTAACTGCGACTAATGATGTTGGTGAAAGTCAAATACCAGATAAAAGAAACATCCCGCGAGTCAAGGCAGTAGAAAGTATGTTTATATTAATTTTGTTTTTTCCCGTCAACGATTGCAATCCTTTCTTTTGTCAAAGTCTTTGATTACCTCTTTCTCACCAACGGAGAGTTTTATAGCCTGTGCATGTGTGTATGTGTGTGTGTGTGTGTGTGTGTGTGTGTGTGTGTGTGTGTGTGTGTGGGTGTGTGGGGCGTGAGTGGATGTGTGGTACGTTAGCTTTATGCCCTCAAAGCAAGGTAGGCATCACTGATTGGTTGATTATCATTGAGAATATTACATTGTTTCGTTTAAACAGGAACGTTTTGAGTTAAGGCAGTTGGTAAAGCTGAAAATTTCAACTGTTAACGCATGATATAGAAAATACTTCTTTTAAAAATATACTTCTTGGCCCAAAATACTTTCCCATAACTAAATTGGGTAGGGAAGTCATCAGCCTATCCATTTACAGCGTGCAGTCTGTAGCTGATTAAGACAAGAGAGACAACATATTTTACTATACCGTATTTTCTCGATCAAACACCGGACCCTATGAAACGCTGACCTCGGTATATTCGTTTCACGGTATTTCACCGTCATATTTGCCGCCTGTTATCGGCTGAAAATGTACGGAACACGATTCATTGGCCCGGCTCGCTTCAAATTCACTAAAATTAAGATAGCATAATACTTTCACGGTAAAGGTTTGGTCAATTCTGACTTTATTTTCCATGCTCTCAGCAAAGGATGCAATTCCTCCAAAGTTTGCGTGGCGCACTTCTCCGCCATTTTGGGAATAAGTGAAATACCCGAAGAGACTGAAAAAAGGAAACAACCGAGAAACTTATTCACATGTAAAGTACACATACTCGATAACAGATCTCAGTAGGTTGGTGGCTTTTGCGCCCGCACATTTTACTACAATTGAAGTCTAAAGCGGAGGAAAGCTAAAATAACACTCTCAGTGCGACTTCATTAACATTCAAAATTGTAAATTTTGGTGCTCTCGAGACTTATAATGAACCCTCTCTCTCTTCCTTCCATTCAACCCATTTCGCGTCCTTCTAGAAATCACGCTCTTTCTTGTTACGGCTGTACGAGACAAACAAAAAGCTCTCTGCGATTTTATCAACAGTCAATATTCGAAACAATCTTAGCGGCATTGTCAATCGAGCTGAAAAATCATGTTCAAGTTTTCTGACCTGTGCCGCGTAGTTTGGAAAATCACGCTCTTTCGTCCTACTATTGTCAAGCTTATCGAGGAACCCTTCTCTGGGACGTGATCGACATCCAAAATCACAAACTTTCGTTCTCTCGTCGATCGAAGCCCTCTTTTTCCTCGAGCTATAACTCGAATTTATTGTTTTGAAACTCCCCCTCCTCTGAACTCGTCGTTCTCTTGTTCTATAGTCAAAGGTCTACATAATTATAATGCTAAAGTATTTCATAGATTATAGAGACGCGTGTCGCAAGAATAACATTTAATTTGGTTTCGCCTCATTGACATCCAGTGCGTAGTCGCCTATTAAAAAATTTCACGAAGGTTAGGATGCAAAAACGGGATGCAAAAACGGGATGATGAGCGCGGCCATTACTAAAACTTGTTCCTTTTCGTTATGAGAGTATTTCAACAGCGGTTTGTCTCGTTGCAAGTTCTTCTGCATTTGCGTTTTCTGTTACCGTTATTAAAGAAAGATCTTTACATCTGGTCCTCTGTTAAGTTTCAGGAAAGAGAGAAGTTTACTTAAGAGCGACCATAAATGAGAACTGTAGCAGACGTTTATTTGTTGCAGCCAAATTCCCGAATGTGGTGAGTTGTTTATTTAGTCCGTCCAATGTTTGTGTTTGATGATATTTAAATGAGGTGATTAATAAAGAAATTAATAAATAGAGGAATTGGAAAAAACCAACATGCAAAAATATAAATGATTGAATTGAATTGATTGAATAAATGAATACGTGAGTAGGAAGGTGGCTGAGTAGAGGGATAGACGGAGGGAAGGAAAGATGAGTGGATGGATTAATAAATGAATGAATAAATGAGATAAATGAATTAATGAATGAATCAGTAAATGAATGGCAGTGTGGCTCTATATCTTAACTGCACGAATGTAATACACTTCCTGTTTTATATTTACTGTTTTGTACTTTTTAGGCATGTGAATTGGTCGTCAATCACAGCTGTTTTGCTGCCCTTACCGTGGACAGCAGGTATTCTATCAGTCATCACCGCAGAGATTCCACGAGATCACTACGCATGCGCATAACTAGTCATTCTGCTACGCTTACGCTCCGCCATTACATGTGCGACTGGTCAAGCGAATCGAAATCAAAGAATATCTTCACCATCCTACCTCCTTTACAGACAATATATAAACCTCTACGTAAGGCGCTGCCTTACAAGGATAATTTGGTTGTTTTGCGAGGCAAAACTGTATTTAAAGCGTTTTATCGCTGTCTACCAATATGAATTCAGAGGGATCAACGCTGAGCGCGTTTGACATAATTGTAGAGGAAAATTGCCCCA